ACACACACACACACACACACACAACCAACCCCTTCATGCAATTTGTTTCCTTGGTTTGGAGGTTCAGGGTCATGGTTTCATGGGACATCTCAGATAACTGGCCTAATAACATGTTTAATGCTTCTTTTCTGCCTCCTAATTCATTACTTGTGCCTAAGTTCCTAAAAGCTTGCAAGCAGCCATCCAAGTCATGAAAATTGGTCTCTATTCACCTGGAACAATAGAGGAAGGAGAAGAGTCAGGAATAGGAGGAGGATATGGAATGCGTGGCTAACTGCCTCTAAGAACAAACAACTGTTTCCTTTGCCATGAGACCAGAACTGCATGGTGCCTGGCCACTATTACCGAACATTTTGATCAAAGATTCCTTAGCAGAATCTCATTCAAAAACAGGGAAATGCAAAACAGATTTAAACATTCTCTAAGACTCCAGACTTTTTGGACCCATGGAGGGTGGAAGAACCCCTGAAACTATTGCTCTGAGATAAATCTTTAAACCCTAAACCAAAAATATTCCCTGAAATCTTCTTAAAACCAAGTACTTTAGCCTAACTAGTAAAACTGTCTGCCTTGAGGATTATAACCTTTTAAGATCTACATGGGATCAAAAGGAACTCTGGTGGCATTGTGCCTAAGGCATTTGACTGCTAACCAGAAGGCTGGTGGTTCAAACCCACCAGTCACTCCTCAGAAGGAAGACTGGGCAATCTACTTCCATAATGATACCACCTCGGAAACCCAAGGAGGTGTCACTATGAGTTGAATCCAACTCAACGGCAGTGGGTTTTGGGGTATGGGATCAAAATGACAACAAAAAACAAAAAACAAACTCAATGCTGTGGAGTCGATCCTGACTCACAGCGCCCCTCCCTGGATTTCTGAGGCAGTTATCTCCATGGAAGTAGATTGCCCAATCCTCCTTCTGAGAAATGGCTGGTATGTTTGAACTTGCAGCCTTCTGGTCAGCAGTCAAATAAATGCCTGAAGCACTATGCCACCAGAGCACCTAAAGTGACAAAAGATAGGAACTTTAGAACTCAGGGAGTTTATGTTTGTTAAAGAGCAAAGTGCAACGAGGAATAGGAGGGTAAGAATGGTTGCACAACTCGAAGAATGCAATCATCGTCACTGAATTGTACATGCAGAAACTTGAATTGTTTTTGCTATGTATATTCTCAACAAGAACAAATTGTTGAAACAATAACAGTAAGGAAAACATTAAGTTCTTTACAGTCCTTTTTCCTTAAATGTAACTTACCCCGTGTTTCATTTCGCCTATTGTTATATGCTGTTTTGTTAGCTTCAGGTTGACATCTTGAGCTGTTCCGGGAGCCTGGTCTTTCTTGACACTCTGGTCTTACATCATCTAAGTGAAGTGGTACCCACTTGTGTTTATTAGCTTGAAGAAAGCAAAATAAAATCTTTTAATGACAACGCATATTTTTGATTGGAGTCGTGCAATTCTGAAAGCACTCTAAATTTTGATATAAACAAGTTTTATTTTTTAAAAAGAAAAGTGACTTAATTTGTCCTTAAATTATTTACAGAGTACCAAGAGAATCTTTTTTCTTCTCATACAGCTCTTTAATAAACTTGTTATTGCATTATAAGTAATAACAACATTAATCCATGGGTGGATAAATAGACAGGATAAATGATCAGATATGGGTACGCAAAAGGGAATATACCCATGATCTTATATAAGTTTGGCAGATGACATTTCTACACCTGTATTTGTTCATATGTGTTATAAGAATGACCACATATATAACAGAGCTAACAGAGATCAAAGTTAACTAACTTCTTAGCCCCTGACAAACACCTTGAGAGAGCGAGTTGCTGGGCCCGCGGGCTTAGGACCTGGTCACCGGGGACATCAAGCTAAACTAGTATACCATACTACACAAAAACATTGTTCTACAACCTACTTTGGTAAAGAGCAATAAGGGTCTTAAAAGCTTACAAGTGGCCACTTAAGATGCAAAAACCGGTCTTTTCTCATCCGGAGCAAAGAAGAATGAAGAAAATCAAAGACTCACGGAAACAATTACTCCAAGGGACTAGTGGACCATACGAACCACAATTTACATGACCCTGAGACCAGAAGAACTACATGATGCCCAGCTACCACTGTCACCCACTCAGAAAGGAATCAAAATAGGAGATCCTAGATAGAGTGTGTGTGTGGGGGGGGAAACAGGCTTACTGATCTAATAGAGACTGGTGAAAACCCCAAGACTATGGTCCCTTTTCACCCTTCAGTCTGGAATGGAATTCACTCCTGTGGCTTCTAGCCAAATAGGTCTATAAGGTGAATAATTACACCAAAGAGGTACATTCCTTAGAACAATCAACCACAGAAGATTAGAAGGGCAGCATTTGTGCAGGGAGAAAACTCAGAAGACAGGAACGCATAAGAAAGGAGGACACACTGAAAAGGTAATCACAGGAAGAGTGTAGGAAGAGAGATATTATACTGTGGGCACCAATGTCTTTCCAATATGCATGTATGAACTGTTGAATGGAAAATCAATTTGCTCTGAAACTTTTAACCAAAATCACAATAAAAAAACAGAAATAAATAAACTTGTGCAAACAATGTTTTAAAAAAAAATCAGTGATGGAGCTATCATTGGATTTCTTTTACTTGAATGAAATATTCATTCTTCTGTATTTAATTCTGATGGACAAGCTATTCAGAAATAGTACATATACAAACTACTCCTTTGTATTATTTGATTTTTTTTTTTATAAAGAAGACACATCAAAAAGCCAGGTTTACAGATGAAAATTTTAGTTTCTGATCACTATCTAAAATATTCATTTATATGGAGCAGTTCTACTCTGTCCTATAAGGTCACTATGAATCAAAATTGATTCAATGGCAGTGAATTTTCATAAAAAAATAAAAAGTAAATAAAACATTCATTTGTATAGAATTATTACTAAAGAGTGAAGTTTTTCAAAATGTTAAATGGATACGTTTAAGTACAAAATTATAACTGCATTTGATAGAATTTTTTTTTACAGCTATTATACATTTTCCTACTTTCTAAATACCAAAGATACAAACAATTTTATTTTTCTAGATGACTCAATTATAATTAATTGTTGTACGATAGTGTAATTCCAAAAGATTCTCTACTCATGGATTGTATAGTCAAAGTTTCAAAATGTTCACTCTTCTGCCCCATTTTATATACTCTACCAAAACATAAGATTCATTAGCAAAGGAAGAATTATCAAGGTAGGTAAGGGAAAAGGAATATTAGCGTACAACTGCAATACTGATTATCTATGTATCCTACAAACTATGGATCAGATGAGAAAAAGAGAATATGAAAGAATCTTACAAACTTTTTAAAGCATCTACTATCAGTTCTATCAATGAGATTCCCTGGCATACACAAACACTTTTTTTGAAGATTAAAAAGAAAAAAGTATGATCTAAGAGTATCAATTCTTAACTTGATTATATGAATTACTCTAACAACAAAACATCTCATCTTTTATTCCTGGGTAATCACTTTTAAACGAAGATCTGGTAAGGAGGACAAATTTTAAAGCCAGATGGTAGATCTGTCTGTATAAATTCTAAAAAATAAAAAGATTCCTACTAGATCTGGGAAGCAAGACAGAAAGGTAGATGATAAAATGATGAAGCATTAGGGACAAATTTTTCTAACAACCAATTGGTTGTCCTACTGATATCACTTTAGAGCAATCAGCCTCGGCTCACAGTATCAAGGGAGCCTGATGCTTACCCTGCACCTAAGGAATGCATATTTACTTAAAATTAAAAAAAAAAAAAAAAAATCTATTTCACATAATAAACTCAAGTCAATATATGGTTTGCTGTTATTTCCATTAAGAAAGTTGGCTGAGCTACCTAAAGGGAGCGAGTAGTTGAACCTGGGGGCTCAGGACCATGGTCACAGGGGGACATCAAGCTCAACTGGCATAACATACTACACAAAAACATTGGTTTACATCCTACTTTGGTTGAGTAGTGACTGCAATCTTAAAAGCCTATAAGATGCAACGATGGGTCTCTCCTTGCCCAGGGCAAAGAAGAATGAAGAAAACCAAAGACTCATGGAAACAATTAGTACAAAGGACTGGTAGCCATGCGATCCTCAGCCTGTATCACCATGAGACTAGAAGAACTAGATGATGTCTGCCTACCACTGTCAACCACTCGGGAGGGGATCTGTGCAGAAGATCCTGGATAGAGTTGGGAGAACAATGTGGAACAAAATTCAAAATCATAAAAAAAGAACAGGTTTGTTGGTCTGACAGAGCCTGGTAAGATCCCCAAGTCTATGGCCACCAGCCACCCTTCAGATCTGGAACTGAACTCACTAGTGTGGCTTCCAGCCAAACAACAGACAGGCATATGGGGTGAACATTTACATCAGGTAGATATACTCCTTCAAGCAATCAATCATAGGAGAACAGAAGGGCAGTGTTTGCACAAGGAGACAACTCAGGGAGTGGGAGTTCATGGGAGGTAAGGACACAAGGAAGAGGTTAAGTAAGGAAAGGAAATGGGAAGAGAGCTGGTATACTGTGGGAAATTGTAATCAATGTCATGAGACAAAATATGTATGAATTGCTCTATGGAAAATGAATTTACTCTCTATACTTTCACCCAAATTACAATTAAAGAAAAGAAAAAGAAAGTTGACTGGCAACTACTACACCATTCAATGTCCCCTCCTATGCCCTATCACTTCAATGCTTCAATGGCTTCCCATGGTATTTAAAATCCAAATTCTAAGTTACCAAGGTCCTGTATAACGTGGAGGCCTTGTCTACCTATCCAATCTCATCTCCGGCCATTTTTCCAAAGCTTATCATACTGTAGCCACTGACCTTCTAGCATTTAATATTCTTTTCTGCCTAGAGACCCCTGAACACACTTTTGCCTAGGCTCAGAACAATGCATGAAAACATGCTTTTACAAAGCAGATAAATCATAATCCATTCCTGGACAAATGAAAGATCAGGAAAAAGGATATAAAGATGCTATATAATTTTTTCTTTTATATACTATAAAATGTTAATTTAAGGATCAGGACGCTATAAGAAAAACAGTAAAGTTGACCAAAATCATGCTTATTCATCACTTACAAAAATAAATTATTTAATTTCCCCAGAACTCCCTAACAAAACATAATTCCCGTGAAGATTTAAAATAATAAGAGTTACCATATGACTTTCCAAAAACTACATTTACAACCATCTCTTTATTTTTTTTTATTTTAAGAGCTTGTTTTACATTCAAAGTCACACATACATTTAGTTTCATTCCCCATTCGCCATGTCCAACCCCAACCCAGCCTCCTCCCCTCCCTACCCTGCAACACTTCCCCTGTGCCCCTCATAATCATGCACTCCTGTTTGTCCTGCATTTCCTCAGTTTGAATGTTGGTCCTTTGGTGACCCATGATTTACTGCTTTAGGGGATGCATTACCATTAAGTGTGTGGGTGCAGCATCCTGGGTTGAGTGGTCTACATGTACATCTCACTAACCATTGGGCTAAGAGCCCGCCCCTGGGAGTGAGTTTTATTTCAGGCGCTGAATGTATTTCAGGGCCATAGTATTGGGAGTCTTACCAGACTTCATCTGACCAGTAATTCTAGTCATTATTGAGTTTTTGGATTTTGTTCCACATTTTCCCTCTCACTCTATCCAGGATCTCCAGATTTGATCCTTTCCTGAGTGGTTGGCATTGGTAGCCGGGCACCATCCAGTTCTTATGGTCTCAAGGGCCATCGTGTCCTAGGGTTAATTGCTTCTAAATGCCCTTGGGTTTTTTTTTTTTTTTTTTTTTTTTTTTTGTGCGTTCTTCTTCACTTCCAACTCTGGAAGACCATTAGCTGCATCCTAGATGGCTGCTTGAAAGCTTTTAAGACCCCAGTCGCTACTTACCAATGTAGGATGTGGAGCAACGCTTTTATGTATTTTGTTGTGCCAATTGAGTCTGGTATACCCCAATACTATGGTCCTGAGGTAGTAGCTCTATTGGATCTCTCTCCCACAGTGTTGGGATGTCTGTGAGGGATTACTCTGTGTCTGTCTTCTATTGTTTCTGCAAGGACTGCAGGTATTTTATATCATTTTATATCACTGGTGTCTGTACATGATTAGCCTTAGCTGAGTCTATTCTTGGTCTAGAGTATACCTCTATTCACTGATCCCTGTCTGATCTCTTTAAGTAGAACTTCACTCCATTGTCTTATATATACACGAGTCAAATGCAGAAAGAAGAGTCTAATAGATTAAAAATGTAACAAAAGCAAAGCAGTTACCACTGCAGATGTCTTATCATCAAAAAATCTAAAATTTACACTGGTGACTACCAACGATCAAATGGTTTAATATTAATTCTTCATTATTACAATTTTCTTCCAAAAATTAAAATCAAAATGTTAAACTGACCTCTTTTTCGTTGATTACTTGACTGAGCCTCATCTTCACTGACATTTTCACCTGGACCATCCAACTTCATTTCCCGGTTTTCTTTGCTCTCACTGTTGCTTCTCTTTTCAACTTTCTCTTCTTTTTCTTTTCTATTTTGTACCTTCTTATTTCCTTGGTTAATGGCGTTCTGACACTGTGAAAAGGTTTTAATGAAATTATTTTCATTAACATATCAAAAAATTTGTAGTAATAAACCTCTCCTATATAGTACAAAACAAATAACAAAATAGCTTTTATCCATAAAAAGTTGCTATTCAAAAGAACTATTAAAAACACAAGTAACAGACTGGGAAAAAAATATCTGCAAAGTTGTTGATAAAAGACTTGTATCCAGAATATATAATGAACTCTCAAAGGTAACAAGTAAACAGCTCAATTTTTTTTAAATGGTCAAAAAAGGTGAACAAAAACGACAAAGAAGTTATTGATGGCAACTAAACATATGAAAAGATGACTGATATCATTAGACAAATACAAATAACTACAGTCCATTATCATTGCACATCTATCAACACAGCTAAAACTAAAACTGACCATACCAAGTATCAGTGAGGATATAGAGGAAATGGAGTTTTCATACACTGCTGATAGAAATGTAAGTTTGGTAGTTTTTAAAAAAGCTAAATAAATACATACCATATGACTCAGCCATTCTACTAACAAGTACTTAACTCAAGAAAAATGAAAACAAGTATCCATAAAAAATCTGTACATAAATGTTCATAGCAACTTTATTTGTAATAGCAAAAACTAGAAATAATCTAAATGTTCATCAACAATAATGAATGGATAAACTGTGTTCTGTCCATACAATGGGATGTTCCTTAGCAAAAAAAAAAGAAAGAACTACTAAAACACACAACAATATAAATAAATCTCAAAATAATTATGCTGTATAAAACCTAGAACCAAAAGAGATTATAAAGGAACGTGAGGAAACTTTTGAGACTAATGAATAAATTCATTATCTTGATTGAGGTGATCGTATCACAGGCGCATACAGGTCAAAATTTATCAAATTGTACACTTCATATTTATGCAGTTTATATATGTCATTTATACCTCAAACTATTTAAGTAAAGATATATATACTTATAACTATACACCAGTAATACTGTACAAATTACAAATAACAAAGTGTACAATGTCAAATAAAAACATGTAATCAGATAACCATATATGCTACTCCTCTGAAAAGTCCCTTAATGAGATATTTTATACCCAACTTTCTAAAGAGTTTATTTTATACATACAGTTAAATAAACTGAAAGATCTATTCACTGCACAATTCTTGATATGAAATATGTGTGTGTGTGTGTACACACACACACACATATACATTTAGAACTTCAATATATATTGAAAATACTATAAATCAAAGAAAATATACACATGCATAGAAATATAAAATGGGCTTAACTTAGGCACATTATATTAAAGGACACTGCATTTAAAATCAATCCCTTTGTTTATAGGCATTACATGAAGTTAACCAGCAACATACCCCAAACTCAAGGTTACCTCCTGAGAATACAACCAGATGGGAAAAATGTGATGAAGGAGATTAGGCATCTGGAAAATAGGTAAAACTATCAAAATGGTAGCTACCAAGCTTATAGCATCTCTTTATCAATGTATAATTTTATAAAAATATAAAATTTTGATCTATAATTCCTAACATAATCATTATTACAAAAATAACAGGTAACTCTTACCATGGTTAAAGCTTAAGACACCAAATTCATTACTAATACTATTGACAATGTCAAAAGATGCAAATAAATAAAAAAAAAACCTAGATGGAATCTAGTCCTTAAGCCTATCCATAATGCTACAACTTTCTAGATTTTAAGTAAAATAAATTCTGCACGATGAAATGAGAATATCTGCCTTTTTTGGAAAAAAAAAAAATTCTTAATACTCACTCCAGTGTTCACTAATTCGCTTGGTGTTGGCCAATTTGCCATGTCACTGAAATCACTAGCCTAAGAAGTAATAAATAAGTGTTATGTTCACAAATTAGTTTTCAAAATTATGAACAGAAATATATTTTCTGAAAGTGAAAATAATTTTTAAATACACCTACATTTAATTATATGCAGGCATTTGCCAAATTAATCTAAAAAGTCCCTCTGAACAACAGAATACTTTGGAATAAGAACGTTTGGGCATATGATCAAACTTCTAGCACAAATTTAATTAACCAAAATGAGGTACACATGACAGCAAAAGATGGGTTTTGGATAAAAACCACAATTCTCTAGGACAGTATCAAACTAATATCAATGATACAACTGGAAGAAAAGTACACAATGCAAATCTAAAAGAACAATTTCCACATTCAGTATAGTTAATAACTATTTCTCGTAAAAACATACCTTAGTGTTTTTCTTTGTCTTGAGATTTCCTGCCTTTATAACTTTTGGGGAACTGAGGTCTAAGGAAAATACAGAGAATTGTTTTTACTACCACTTAATTCAATGTATTTAACAAAATAATCACTGTACCAATTTCAGTAAATCAGTGTAGTCATCACTTGCAACAAAATTTGAAGTTCAGAAACTCAAATTCCTAGCAATAAATCAACTACATTTAACACACAGATTCAAATTGGTCTTCAGTTCAAATAAATGTGAGAACCATGTTAACAGTTTGGAATTGACAGACCAAGGCATTCATTTAAGCTCAAGCTCACTGCCAGTAGAGTCAAATCCCACTCATAGCAACCCCTCCCTTGGGTTTCCAAGGTGGTATCTCAAAGGAAGTAGATTGCCCAATCGTCTTTCCTAGGTGGGGCTTGTGGGTTTAAACTGCCAGCCTTCTGGTTGGCTGTCAAAAGCCTTAGGCACTACGCCACCAGACAAACTATTACATGATAAAAAGAAAACATATTTTAATACAAAGTTGGTGACTCAGATTTCTAATGGGATACATTTTTCTATACAACTAATACATTCACCAAGGACACAGAAAATGTCAATAGACTTCAAACTATTTGTCCTAGAAAACAAACAGGTTTGACAACCCTAATAGGTTGAACCTAGATTGCAGCCATAAAATAGAATAACTAGCCATTATAAAAGGAGCTCTGGTGGCGCAGTGGTTAAAGCATTCAGGCTAACCAAAAGGTTGGTAGTTTGAAACTAGTGGCTCTGTATGAGAAAGATAAGGTAGATAAGGCCAACTGCTTCTATAAAGATTTACAGCCTTATGTCTGCTTCTATGAAGATTTACAGCCTTGGAAACCCTACAGGGCAGTTCTACTCTGTCTTATAGGGTCGCTATGGTTGCAAAGGGCTTGATGGCAGTGGGTTGGTTTTTCAGTTCAGCCACTGTAAACATTTGTAGGAGAGTATCTTGGGATCACTATCTGTACCTATCTTGAATAAGAACACAGCAGATGACAATAAAACCCAGTATAATCTCCCCAAATAAAGAAACTTTTAGGTTCATTACCCAGCAAGGTGGTCAGTGAGATAGCATTTTCATCTCACTGAACATGACCTATTGAGATAACAGCTTGGGATCTGTATCTACAGACAACACAGTAATCAAGCAAAGCATGAATCTCATAAATCATGGCAATGACAAATTTATGGAAGTAAACCAATATTGAGTTAAAATCCAGAAGAAGATTTAGATGCAGTATGTTGTTGTTGTTGCTGTATGCCATCGAGTCGGACTGACTCATAGCGACCCCTCCTTGGGTTTCCGAGGCAGTATCACTACGGAAGTAGATTGCCCTATCTTCCTTCTGAGGAGTGGCTGGCGGGTTTGAACCACCAGCCTTCTGGTTAGCAGTCAAGTGCCTTAGACACTATGCTACCAGAGCTCCTTAAATGCAATATAGAGGTCTTATTAAAGGAAGAGGGATGAAAGATGAGGATGTGATCAGAGATGCACATACAGGGATCTTGACACTATTTTAGTATTCTATTTTTAAAGCAGAATAGTGAATACACATGTATTTGCTTTATTCATCTTTATGCTTTTAGGGAGATATATGTTTATGTGCACATGGATAAAATACGTCATTAAGAAAAACTAAATGTAGTAGGGGGGGAAAAAGGGACAGAAAAATTAAAGCCTGTGAGGGGAAAATAGTCAAATTACTAATAAAGAACAGTATTTGCCTAAATATTACCTAGTATTTGATTCAGACACTCTGTATATATTTTATGAGTTACACAATATAGAACACTTGCAGGACTTTTCCCCAACAATGCAGAAAACAATGATCTGCTGAGTAGGCAAGTAATTAATGTCTGACAGCTATAAAATACCATTTTATACAAACTATTTGATTTAACAGAAAGTAATAAAGGATAGGGAATAAAAGTAAGTTTTATTTATAAGTTTTATTACAAATCATGAGACTATAATCATGAAGCCAACATCAGAAACTACTGACTACATAAAAAACAATAAATTTTTTAAACTTCAATACTAAATGAAAAATGAAGTGTAATAGAAAAAAAATTGCAATGTGACAGAGTAACTTTTATTAAAAAATCAAAGTGGTCCCATTCTACCTACACAGTGAGAATAACCTCCAGCTAAAACTGAGTAGGAACTTGTAGAGGAAGATTCTTGAACTTTACTTCTTCAGACTTCAAAAGGAAAACATTTTGATTTCAGGCTTTAACAAAATCTTGGACATTAATGCAAGAAGATTTTTGCCTAAATTTTTTTATCTCTCATCTTTTTTTTAATTTTTCAGCTTTAATTCTGCAACAGAATATATAGTGAAAAACGCTTACATTTAACCTTGAGGCACCTATGATACTGTCATTTTATTTACACTCTTTATACATGTACTGGAATTGGAATGTTTATGTGCATTTTATCAAGGCCATAAAGTTAATCTCATCACAGACTACTTGACAAACTATGTTAGCAAATATGATTGAAGAATATGGAATATGAAATGTTTTGGTTCTCTAGTGCTGCTCTAACAGAAAATACCACAATGGGTGGCTTTAACTAACAGGGATTTATTCTCTTACTGTTCAGGAGGTTAGACGCCTGAATTCAAAGTGCCAAGCTCTAGAGGCTGGGTGAAGGCCGCTCAACCTTGGGCGTCAGCTCTACCTCTTGCTCCCAGCTCACTGAAGCTGGAAGTTATCTCTCAGCTCAGGCAGCTGCTGGCTACCGAGGCTAACGTAAGGTTGACAAGTAAAGTGGCACAGTCACAATAGTATAAAGCAACACGGCAACTAATTCAAGTTCATTAACAGTCCCAAGATCAGCAGGCAACATGGCAGGCCACTGAGATGAAGATTCAGCTACCTTTCACGGTCCAAGCATGCCAAAAAGCTCCAGAGACCTTTCTCAATGCTTCTTCTTACACTGGAAACAGACCACATCCCTAAGGCAGCTACTCACAATAGATTTCACCATGGAGCTGATTATCAGGCTCATCATGGGGAATAACTACATCCAGCTGCCCAGCCACTCAAACCCAGGCCCAGCCAAGTTAATGCACAACTTAACTACCACATGAAATTAATTACTGGTAATTTCTTACCACTGATTACTAAGTGGCCCTAAGGGTTTATTCACTATCGCATGAGGAAAAATTTTCCTCAACTCCTTCCTGAGTTAACAGTAACTTTCCTGATCAATGAGTTTCAGAAAATAAATGAGTTGCAAAGCCAGCATCCTTTCCCCGTTTTTCTTTGGGGGCTGCTATTGTTGTAAGGAGCTCTGGTAGCATAGTGGTTAAGTCACTTGCCTGCTAACCAGAAGGCTGATGGTTCAAACCCACCAGCCACTCCTCGGAAGGAAGGTTGGGCAATCCTACTTCCGTAGTGATACTGCCTCGGAAACCCAAGGAGGGGTCGCTATGAGTCGGGGCCGACTCGACGGCACATAACAACAACAACAACATTGTTGTTGGGAGCTCTGGTAGCACAGTGGCTAAGACACTTGCCTGCTAACCAGACGGATGGCGGTTCAAACCCACCAGCCACTCCTCGGAAGGAAGTATCACTTCCATAGTGATACTGCCTCAGAAACCCAAGGGTCGCTATGAGTCGGGGCCGACTCGACGGCACATAACAATGACAACAACATTGTTGTTGGGTGCAACTGAGTAGATTTTGACTTGTAACGACCCTATGTGACAGAAAAGAACTGCCCTACAGGATTTTCTAGAAGATTGCCAAGTCCTTCTCTCACAAAGGAGCTGGGTGGGTTTGAACCAGCACCCTTTTAGTAAGCAGCAAAAATAAAAAAAAAGTAGAAGCTAACTGCTCACAAAAAGCAAGCATTCTGCTCTGTTTCTTCATGCATTCAACTTCACAGGGGCAGAACCCCAACAGGAGTAGCAGGGTGACATAAAGTTGTGCAACATTAACTGGGTGAACAAGTTTGTCTAATTCCAAGTGGAATATAAGGAAGTCTTTAGTGTTGCTTATATAGGCCACCTCACCAACCCAGTCTTTCTTCAGTTACAAGGATGATACTGATGATTTTTTTTAAATAAATAAATATGGGTAAAGAATGAGCAAATGATCCAAAAAAGAAACATAAATGGCTAAACAAAGACAAGGTACTCAATCACAATAATACACAAACGTAAACTAAATCAAGAAATACTTTTCACCTATCAGATGAGCAAAAAAGAGAATGCTCAGTGTTGATCAGCCTGTAAAGAAAGAGAAATTTCTCTTATGATGCTCATGAGATGCTCATGAGAGTGCAAAGGGTGCGCAGTGTAGTAAATTACTTAGTGTGGCTTTTCTACCCATAAGTCTTTGTAAACTCCAAGGTGGGATTTGCTATGAGCAACTGAGGAGCTCCTGATTGTAAATGGTATCCACCTGGGTTATTTCTGTTGGGCGTGGCACAACGCAATGTTATGGGAGGCTCACTCTCAGGTGCTTAGAATTCTGTTGTTATGATTGGTTGGTTTGGCCAACTCTGCCAAGCTCAAAAGGAGGCCTCCTAGAGGCAGAACTCTCTC